TGCACTTTTGGCGGATACAGTCTTTCACATCACCACACACAAAGAATCTCAAATTGGTGATAAGCTTTTCCTCACTCCACTTTTTCAGTCCTCCAAAAATACGATAATCTTCCAGCCACAGTGTCCATTCTTTAGCACTTGTGCCATTAAACTTGTCCAAACCAATGTCTTTTTCGGCCATTTTGTTCTTTGTCTTTTCACGTTGACGTTCTTTCTCAGTCTTTGGTTCTGTTTACATTTTTGTTAAATTTAGGATAGCCAACCAATCCCACACCGCTGCCACCATTGTTGCGGGTTCTCTCGGTAGCGTCACGTCAACCCATAATTAATAACTCAGCCAAACGGTGCATCTTTATTCTTGTACGCGGAACACTCGTGGCACTCAGCGGCACAACCCGGCTCGCCTCTCTCACGCGTCCCGCACACGGGGCGGATCCTTTGTCTTACAGCTACGTTTGTGGCGCGTCCTGCGCCACCGCCCGACTTGGACGGAAAAGGATACCGCGACTAAATTGTGGCGGCGCACCCGCCACACCTATAAAAGGCACTGACCCGCTCTGTCACCTATAAGGTGTGCAAATTTCAACCCCCTACGATATACCGTCTGCCCTGTAGGCGAGTGGAATTGAACCCACTACACGGCGTGGCGGACAAACAAACAAACAAACAGACGGATCCTGTTCAAATAGTAAGATAGATTAAAGTTCATTGAATTAGCCATCAACCCATGGGGCAACGATCCTTCAGCGTAAATGGAAGTGGTCTAAAACTGACATTTTTCTGAACCGTTGCACTTGCGTACTCTTACCATATGGGGTGTGTAAGAGTACGCACGCCAGGCGGGTGGAGTACGCAAGCATATGAACACACACCTATGCAGCTTGCACTGTCCAAATGCTTAACTTCAAACTCAGAAGGCATTTAAGTTAATTCTAGTATCCAAAAAGAAAAACATAAAATAAATCTTTCAAGTCTATAAATCAGGAAATAATCATGTCGTGTGTTTCTTTTAAAAATGCACAATCAAAAAGGAGAATAACTTGTATTTGGAAGAGTTTCGGGTACGCATCTGCATCGCAGTGCTCCATTGATGATATACCTACAAAACAAACGTCATTGAGCAATAGATTAATAATGCTATATTTCTGTATATTCGATTTAAAGGTAGTGTGCCAGCTTTCTTGGACCGTATGGAGTTAATGGCCCAGATAAGGAGAACCGGATTTTTAGAACTTATCCATACCTTCAAAACTCATGGAAACGTCTTAAATTCTTCAAATTTTGAGTACCCCAGTGCGAAATTCGCCCCGACGGGTTGTCGGTCGTACCCCAACCACATTTCACACCACTATGAACAATAAATGCACACACTGAAATCGCTATTACCGATATGCTCATCCAATCAAGTTTCGATAAACCCGTTCATCATCATCTCCTGCGGTTTCGAACACGCCTGTTAGGTGGCTTCTGATGCTCGTCGAGGTCGGAATTTCCAAATACGCGTGGTGCGTCGGGCCGCGCGCTCTGACTTCGGCCAAGAAAATGCGTCAGCTGATCATTGTCATTTCTGCCACTTGCGTGTGGTGAAATGGGGTCATAACTTATAAGACGGCTTTTTCATATCAATTATTTTACATAAAATCATATTTCAAACCATAAATAATGTTCGACAGCCAAATAAAAGAAACAATACCAATACGGGCTTACAGTTTAAGGCTCGACATTGTGTTGTCTACGATCAGACAGCTGATAACTCATTCCCGTACGTCGTATGGTCGTAACACTATAATGACCTTTGCTTATTGTCACAAGTGCGCCGCATTCGCGATTGTTGCCCGACGCCTGTTTGCAGGTGAGCCCACTACAGTTGTTATACATATCTAAAAACCGAAAAACTTTTAGGCGAAAAAGGCACTATTCCAGGCCCATTTTTGATTTTTTTTTGCGATATTAGGTAAAAACAGAAGCTTCTTATCCTAGGAAAAATAAAATGGGAAATCTTTCAAAGGTGGCACACTACCTTTAATGTATAATTCTGCGTACTCTTACCCTCCTGAACAGTGCGTCCTCTTACCGTACATGCAATTCGCGCACGAAACAACCCCGAAACGTTGTGCAAAACTTCGCAAACAGAATATTGCACTGTACAGTATTTCCCCAGATAACCTCACAAGTTTCCCACAACAATCACGGAAATGCACCTTATCTCAACTGCCAAGTATCAAAATTATTGTACCATATCATAATAATATCATAACGCTCGAAAATAATATTCATCGCCTTAAACTCAACAGCGTCGCCGCTCAACGCCCACGTTCCGTTGGTGACATGCACGCACTGGCGGCTTCATGTCATTTCATGAACTCGACAAACCCGCGTTGCTAAGCAACCGAAACAGCTGATGCGTACTCTTATCGCCCGCGTACTCTTACCCGCCTTTACCCTACATTTACGATAAATTTTCTTTAGCAGTCGAGCCGCATCTTGTAGCGCCGTGGAACGTGCGGACTTCACTAGAGAGGTAGACTGCACCGCACAACGTCGGTGCTCTGCGGGCTAGCCTACCCACGCAGTGATCTCAGGCCTCGGCGAGCGGCAGCCTCCGTGCTGTGAAGAGCGCATACAGTCGCCGACTGCCGGTGCCGAGCTACTATCCTGACTGGTCAACTAGCACAATACCGCGGTATTGTTGCTGAAGGTCCTCAGGATGGTATGATCATTGATCACTGTATCGACGCTGCCCTTGCCCATGGGCGCCGCCACCGGGGGGGACGGGGGGGACGCGTCCCCCCCACTCTCAGAATGGAAGGGGGACGTCCCCCCCCCCCAAACTCATTACGGAGCGAGCGAAGCGAGCGTAGTCTTTCGTAGGTTTACGGAAATTTCTGAGTATGCCGTGGTCACGCTTTTGCTAAGCTTATAGGTATCTCAGCAACCACTTGACCGATTTACATGCGGTAATTTTTGTAGGGTAGCACTAGATTCATTCCTTCTAACGAGCATCGGAGTACTCCCGATGCATGTGAGTGACCCCATATGCACGTGCCACGTGAAAAACGAAGAGTTGTCAGTTTTGTAACAATTTCAATATCTCGGCAACTACTGGGCCGATTGCGCTGAAAGTTGGCATGTAGGTAGGTATACCCACTAGGCAATGCATATGCATGTGCCAAAGTTGGGGTGCTGCTGCACGTGCGCACATGCAGGGGTCGATTCCAGATCTCGAGAACGGCTGAACCGATTGTGCTGAAATCTGATACATGGTTAGGAACCGGTCAGTAGGGTGCCGTGCAAAAGTCAGTTGGAACCCATTTTGCACGTGCGCACGTGCAGGGTGCCGCTTCCAGATCTCGAGAACGGCTAGGCCGATTGCGCTCAAATTTGGCACATCGTTAGGGACCGGTTAGAAGGGTGCAGTGCACAAGTTAGTTGGAGGTTTCGCAACTTCGCAATTTTGCACGTGCAAGGCCCACCCCACCCTCTCGTTCGCTCCGTTGGTCGCCCCGAAAGGCGTTTTACTGTTGTTATCCTACTCGAAATTTGATTAGGCACTTCGGTCCAGTGAGACCATTTCAGAGCCGCAAGTATGAAAGAATTAGTGGGAGACATTGGTCGGGGCAGCCACCCCAGTGAGCCACTTGGGATGAACCCGACCAATTGAACAGGCAGCCCAGCCCACTGGCACTCACTGCACCCGGCAAAGGACTATAGCTCCAGTGGAGCCATTCCCGCATGGGATAGAGTTGCCCGTCCTGAGCCCGGAGCAGGGGGTTGCGGCGTGGAGGAGAAGGATTTGACTGTCCTGAGGATGGAAGAGATGGAACGGCCGGTGCCGAATCTGAGAGGGTCCAGGAGGTTTAGATACCTACTCAGTATATGGGGTGTGGGCCTACATGCATTGGTGTGATACCTGCCACCTCGGCCAACAAAATCTCCAGCTCTTATCCGACCTGTCATCGCGGAACTGCCGATTTTTGATATCGTGATCAACGTGTGTCGTATAACACGACTGGCCGAACACGGGCCAAATATATTTCGTCTAACCAGCCAAGAGCACTACTTTACACCAATCCGACCTCGAAGTCAAAATCCGAACATTTTCGAAGACTTCAACTCCGACTCTGGCGAAAACTGGCCAAAACAGTCAACTCCGACTGATTCCGGCTCCGACCCCACACTTCTGCAGTCACGCTACACTAAATTTCCAGCTTCTAAGAAATAATCTATACGGTTGACAGGACCACAAAACTTTGAGGCGACTTGACTACTTGACTTGGTTTTCCTGACCTAAAGTTTTCTGGTATCAAGCTTGTTACACGGGCTGCAAAATTCGTATTTTGGAGCAGTTTTGCATAATGTTTTTTTTTTTGCCAATTTTCGCGCCGATTCGTGCACAACCCAAAAAGAGAGATTTGTGACTATACAACGCCCCCTCCCCCACGCGGGTATGCAATATGCATTGCCTATGCAATATGCATTATCGATCATATTAGTGGCATACATCAGCAATTATACCGTGATAGAACACGCGGCTTTGCCATGTGTCAATCCGACCGAAAAAGCCACGGTAAGAATATCTACTTTTGGGTTTTCAGTCGGTCAGTCCGTCCCCCCCAGTCAAAAATCCGTGGCGGCGCCCCTGCCCTTGCCACTTTGAATCTCCCTTCTCCACTCATAGGATTTTTACCTTTTGGATTCCTGACATTGAGGCCTTTTGAATGCCACGATCCTGTGCCGTGGCACATTTCTACTATTCGCTGTAAAAGTGAGGGGGTCCAGAGCACTTTCCCACTTCACCAAAAACATCTTTACCCCTCTGTCTTCGTCATATCTCGTTACATGCAGCTCAAAACCATACCGAAGGAATTCGATGCGCAGGTACGCATGTGTACGTCTGTGGTCGTTGCGCTCTCTCTCTCTCTCTCTCTCTCTCTCTCTCTCTCTCTCTCCCTCTCTCTCTTTCTTCACCGATTACCTAACATACGGGTCAACAGACCAACCTTTCCGGCACACCCATGTATTGTCATAGGTACACCGGTAACGCAATCAGTTACACACTGATCAGCCTTCGTATCGGGCGAAACCCCGTTCCACAGTCCACACAGACCCCGCATTCACACAGACATGACAGTTCGCGGTACCAACCGGCCTCTCGGGCGACCTCCCGTCCGTCAGACAGGACCGTTTCTCACGCGAAGTCGATCGAACCACACCGTCTAGACCGTGACTAGCGAGTAGCGACCACCACTCAGCGCAGATCGGGTCCAAACGCAGCACTTCGAGTGTATCATTACAACAGTGGCGCTTAGATGCTGCCTCATCTGCCTTACTTGACACGGTCGCCAGTGAGTTTGCTATATCTGATTCGGTTGCAGTACCTGTCCTGGTCTTCCACGGGTAACGGTAGTGACGGGAACCGAAGGCACTGCACGACGCAACGCTTTTTCTCCGCGAGCACTGGTACAACGTTCGAGTACACCACCACAGTGTACCGGTACACGGTCAGAGTACATTGGTACGCCACGGTCCACAGATGTACACTGGTACACCGTTGAAGTACACTAATACGCCACAATAATTTAGCGGCAACCGCTTTCTGGTCCGTAATCAGCTCGACAACGTGCAGTGTGACACTCTTAGTCTAGTGGTGTGTTCATAATGACCTGTCCAACAATGAAAGCACAACTAAAATACGGACACACGCATACATTACATATGCACATGTATCAGAGTGCATCCTGACGGTACTATATACGTATTTATCTGTATTAACTACATGCACAGAACACACGCACAATAATACATCTGGGTGTAGGTACTTACTAGGTACACTTAAACTGCCCAAAAGAGGAAAAAATGATGCAAAGAGAAAAATCGGGAGGAGAGAGAGAGAGAGAGAGAGAGAGAGAGAGAGAGAGAGAGAGAGAGAGAGAGAGAGAGAGAGAGAGAGAGAGAGAGAGAGAGAGAGAGAGAGAGAGAGAGAGAGAGAGAGAGAGAGAGAGAGAGTTGCTCAATCAGCTCATCATCATGGTTGATGCATATCGATTATATACATAGCCAGCGGGCCACTCAAGTCAGGCATATGTTCAGTAATGGCTTCCACGTATAGAGGCCGGCTAAAGCTTCAGTCATGGCGCTTATCGTTCCAATTGCACCGGCTGACGCCCCGCGGAGTGAGTTACCGTTCGTCGGTACACAGCACCGGTCTGTGGGGATAGACTGAGCGCTCCAATTGCACATCGGGAGAGCGGAGCGGGCGCCGGATCGCACCTGGTTCAGGCCCGGTTCGCTGCTGATTCACACCCGGTTCGCTCCTGGTTCACTTCATACGTGGACCCGGTTTCACACCTGAGTCAGATACACCGTCGGGCTGTCTGTGATCGGTCGGTTCCTCATCCCCTGGCCGTTCTCTCAGCCTAAAGCTGTATTGAGGGCGACGGCAGGTCTCAATTGACGGTCCATTCCGCACTAACACTGGAACTGATCACACCGTCATACACTCGTCTCGTCACGCCGGCTCTGTATGTCCCGGCTCGGTGGCTGACGATGCCGCATCGGCAGAAGGCGCAGCGGTCCTGTCTGTAGAAGAGCTGCCAGTCTCCGCCGGCGCCGGCCCAGCGGGGGCAGCCGCTGGTGGAGGTGCTGAATCTCTTACCGGTGCGGCAGGCGCCGTGCTGGCGGCAGGTGAGGCTGCCGCCGCGACTCCTGGCATGGGGTCAGCTACTGGGGTAGCGACAGGTTCTGCAACGGCGGATGCTGCTGCTGCTGCTCCAGCTGACTGGGTCGTCGCTGCTGCCCCTGCCGGAGGATCTGCTGCCGCTGATGCTGCTGCTTCAGCCGACGGGCTAATCACTGGTGCCGCTGCCGGCGAGCTAGTCGCCGCTGTACCTGCCGGAGGAACTGCTGCCGCAGCTGTCCCCGCCGCCCCCGCCGTAGGCGTGTCTCTCGCCGGAGCAGCGGCTGCGGGTGCCGCCGCAGCCGCTCCGGCCGGTGGGTCGGGCGCGTCCATCATCGCCAGCAGCACCTCCTCAGGTACCCCTCCACCACCCGCCGGTTGACCGCCGGCCCGCCGCTGGTTGTCCCGCCGGATGGCGTGTGTCACCAGCCGCTGGATCTGGGCGTTTCGCAGGATCACCGGCAGCTCGTAGTGGTGGAAGAAGTAGAACATGGCGTGCTGCGGCAGCAAGACAGGGGGAGGGAGAGGGGAGAGTCAGATTATGAGGAGATGAGCAGGCGAGCAATGCGAGTGCGCATCGTCTCACTCGTCCAGTGACTGCATGTGGTGCTGTTAAGTGTTTGACTTGGACCGGCATGAGCTGTGAGTGTGCCAATCGTATAAAAACAGCTATATCGGTTACAGAGTCGACGGCTCAAGTGCTTTCGCTTCATGCAGCAGCCAAGAAAGGAAGATCGCCACCGCTCCAGAAGCGTACAGCGGCAATACAGGGATAGTCCCTCCGACGGAAGCTAGTGCCGCCGAGGTCGTGTGCCGCAGCCCTCGGCGCCGCGCTCCATCTGACTCACTTTACACGGCTGCCGTTCACACATCCGGCACGATCAAATATTCAGCGGCGGCCTGATATCCATTTCAACTGCACCTGTCTGCCGCCCGGCCCGGCCGGAAACTTTCAGCCTTCCGCCGCCGCCGCTGATATTGGGGCACCGAGCAGTCGGTATACTCCGGCAGTCGAGTCCTCGCTCTCATCCACACCCGAATAAAATCTGACAGCTCATCCATTATCCCTTTAACAATTCATCCATGCTGCATCTCTCCTTCAACGCAGCTCGCAAAGCTCAGGCGTCAACTACCTTGCATTCATCCTAATCATACAACACGGAAATCCCGTCTACCCCAGCCGGCGATCGCTGACCTCTCCCTGCGCTCACTCAGTCCAGGCTTCCTAGGCTTTCAATGTGGTCTTTCACACACCTCCTTTCTGCGGCTGCGACTTTCAGAGGCAGTGCGACGATGACTGCGGTCTTTCATATATCCGTCCTGGTAACCTATCTCCGTCCTGGTCCTGGTCCTGCCAACCTACGTCCTGGTAAAACGTCCTTTTTCCCTCGCCTTTCCCAGCGATTCCTGATCGCTAGTGTTCCTTCATCCCACCCTGACGGGTGCAGTACGTATGGGACCTATTTCCGAAAGAAGAACCGTTCTCCCCGTAACGCCTCCATCCTCGCTCACTAGTCGCTCCCCAGCCCCGCCCTCCGCCTGGCCGGCCATACATCTTGTTTTCGGCCGGTCGCGCCGATCAAAGCCCACAGAGCGACGGAAATTAAATTCTAGAGCTTCTTTCATTAACAGCGTATTATTGTGTCGGCCGTGCCGCCGCCGCGGCTGCCGCCGTCGGTGCCTCGGTGTGTGGGGGTGGGGGCGGGAGGGGAGGGAGGGGTGTGTGGAGGAGGTTAGGACGAGCTAGGGCAGATGTTAGGCTTCCGCTGCCGCTAGGGTAACTTTCCACAGGATTGCAGGTCATTGGTGCGCCATGATGTGGCGTGACTAGTGACTATGTATAGAGGAGTGCGCCGGGTGGATCCCCGGTGGTCATAGGTTACAAGCCGCCATAAACGCTTACCAGTTTGCGTTTGTAGCTACCTGACCATCAAAGATGACCACCGAGCCCGTCAGGACTCGGACTTACAGCCGAAGTCGTCTTTCATCTATCCAGCACCAGCACGTCTCGCGTTCTTATATATCTTACCCACCCCACCCCATCTACCCCGCCCTTCCCCGCACCTCTCTCAGAGCGCCGCACGATACCTCGGGGCGTTCCTCAAAGATGAGAAGCGGCTCACTGCCGCTCGCTATCCCCGCTGAATAAAAAACTAATAACACTTCTTGTTACTGTAATAAGAGGGCGTCGGCGGCGCGCCGGCGGCGGACAATTTGCCTGTTTCGCCGGCCGGCGGCAGGCGGGGCGGCTGCATTTGGCCGCTATTCAGCGCGCGTCCCGGCGGAGCCGGTCGCGGACCGGCTTCGTTACCGGAGTCTTGAGGCCAGATTGAAAATGAAAGGGCTGCCGGCACCGGAGGAAGGGTTGACTGAGAGCCGCCGCCACACGGCCCACGAGGCCGGCGCGTGGACGAGGCAGGACAGCGGCCGAGTGGGTTGCTGAGGGAGGGGAGGGTCGGAGCATGCACGTCCAGGGGAAGGGACACGGCAGTGCGACGTTGGCTGAATATTGACTAAAAGTTAGAAATGATTGAACAGGAGCCAGTGCTGGTCTTTAACCAGTAAAAACTGAATGACACCCTTCATTAGCGGTAATGATGATGACTACTGAGGCTCGATGCTTCCGGTATGTGGCCAAACCGCTATCACGCGCTGGACAAATGGCCATTGATGGCTGACAGGGCCCATTGGTTATTCGGTGGAGGCAGTGCACGGTTTCCGCGAGCGTGTGTGATGGGTATACGATGGTAAATGATCGCCAGAACCGATCATTCAGTCAATCATCCGAACCGAGACGCTCAAAAGGTTCTCAGTTCAGACGATTGGCCCGCGGACTATCAATTACCAAATTGTTCCTTCTTTCCATTGGAGCACAAGACTAGCGGTGTTGCCGTGGCACTGATTAAAGGACGGAAGAACAATGTGTTTTTAACGATAGTGGTGCAACGGTTCGTGATTAAGCCGGCTAGATTTGCCAGTCATTGAACTCTATTACATCATGATTCATGCAGCAGCCAGTGGTGTTTCAGGTGACGGCAGTAAAAGAAACGTCTGCAGTCCGCCCCATCGGACGTCTGTGGTCAGCGTCACGTATCGTCAGATGTCTGTGTTCCGTATTGTCAGGACGTCCTCAGTACTCTCGTCTGTCGCCCAATCCACCAGAAGTCTCTACCCGTTAGAAATATGTGACCAGGGGCTCACACGGGATTCACAGACCCGGTGGAACCCCGACTGAACGTATCGATCTCGCGTCACTAGCCACAGGTAGGACGGCAGAACGGGGGTAGTAAACCTGTCTCCTGTGGTCGTCTCTTATCGGTCAGCACCAGAGCATCGGGCAGACCAGAAAACGGGACGGCAGACAACGGAACGACAGCGGCTAACGCGGGAACTGAGCCGACCGGCATAAGTCGGCACAACACCCAGCGTCAGTGGGACTCACTTCACAGCCCCATAAGAGCGCTGATCAAAAGGCAGTCTTCTCAACACATCCCGCATGAAATGAAGACAGCATGCACGACTGATTTAGTTGTGCTGCAACAGGGCCCCAACCGTCGTAGGCTGAGGTACTGGAGCGGCACCACAGCGTCCCACCAACCCTCCCGCTAACTCTCCCCTTCCCTCACAGCGCCTCCGCTAACTTCGGCAGCCCGGCCGCCCCGAGGGGCCGGTCGCTGTATGCAGGCCGCTCTCCACCGCCCCGCCGGTCGACGCTGAAAGCAAAACAGCCGAGAAACGAAGCCCCACGACGACGGCGACGGTGACGGTGGCTGCACCGCGCGCCGCGCAGACGGGCGGCAGCGAACCGCGACAGTATTCAGCCCGGACAAACGCAGCCGCCGGCTCCTGCGCCCGTCAGACTAAAAAACCGGCCCGGTTCCGGCGACACGCCGCCGCTCGAGCTGTCCCACCGGTGAGGGTGGCACAGAGGCGCCGCGCCCGCCGCTTCCGGCTAGTCTGGCGCTGTATGCATTTCGACAGAGCGGCTCCGTATGATCCAAAGTCGTCAGTCAGGTTAGAGTGGCCACACACTATAAATGCCTGGCCTGTATGTAAGCGAGGCCGGACAGTAAGGGAGATCCAATCAAACGCAACCAGTATGGCAAAAAGTTACATTCCAAACAAGTGATCACAGCGGCTCTCGGACGGTCCAACGACTTTCGTCCGGTCATAAGACGATCCACCATCTTCAGTAAGATAAATGTGCCTGTAAATACCGCGACGGTGGCGGTTCGATTTCGGTGCACAGGAACTGGCGGATACTCGAGTAGCTGGTCGTGCGACGATCCCTCTCGTTCAGATTGTGCCAAACCGATGTATGCCGCACAACAATGAGCACAGAACACGGGAGCACCGATCTGCGTCACAGAGCACAGATGTACGTCACAGAGCGAGCCACGCACTGGCCCGAACTCGGTCACAGGGAGAAGGTCACCGGCGTTCCCACGGACTCCGCAAAGAAGTATGGTTCGGCGGACCCACCGGTTACAACTTGGGGAACAGTTGGTCGGATCATGTTTGAAATATCAACATGCTCTGGACGTTCAAATAACCCTTTGGGGCACTGCTTTTGATCTTATCTTCCTTTAATTTCCTTTCATCTGCTACTTTTATTTCGCCACTCGAGAGGATGTGCATTGTGAAATGTGTTGTGCATGCTTCAAGTGATAATGCATATGCTATTGAAGCTTGATTGAGGTGCTGATTTTGTTTAACCCGCGCACCGACGGGGGGGGGGGGCGGATATCCGCCCCCCCTGAGGTTTTTCGCGAATAGCGGGAAAACCGCGGCGCTACGCGCCGCGAAATTTGGTATGACTATTCCCTTATCAATTTTACACATGGTGTGCAAGTTTGAACCTCCTACCTTTCAAGGTCAGGTCACCAGGTCACTTTGAATGACCCAACCTCAAGTCACTTTTTTGCAACTTTGTCACCGTGCCAGAGCTACAGTAGATGTCGGAGGCCTTTGAAAGTCGCAGGATGTTATTAGGTCATTAGTAGCTACAATTTGTATATCTCGGAATTTTGATATCGGTGACCTAAGGTCAGGTCAATTTCGCGACCTCCCCATTATAAGTCAATGGGGGAAAAATCAACTCCCTGTTTTTACCACTAAAACGGGTCGGAATGGCCCCATATACCATACATGACTTCATATACGATCAACCTTCACTACCTTGAGGTCTGTTTTGCTGTTGGGCAGCTGTGAGGTCATGTGACGTCATCAAAGGTCACCAAAGGTTTTTGGCCAATAACTCCGTACAGGAACAAGATACAGACGCGTGGATGGTCTCATTGTGTTCAGCTCGTCAAGACGCATCGAATGATATACATGATGACCTCGAGGTCACGTGACCTGAGGTCAACCTTTGACCTTGACCTTTCGAGGTCAACATATATATCATTCGATGCGGATTGACGAGAGGATCACGATGATGCCCTTAGTTTGTTCCTATCTTGACTAATTCGAAAGTTATTCGAGAAAAACTCTCTCCATATTTAGCGCCGCCATTTTGACTTTTTCGACCCCTGTGACGTCATCTTTGACCTGACCTGAAAATGACCTTAGTAAAAATTGTAGATCTTGACCGTGCGTATCCGATGCCGTTTACCGCTTGTCGCTATCTTGCTTCGTTCTCGAGATCTCAGGGGGGGGGGGGGGCGGTCATCCGCCCCCCCCCCGTCGGTGCGAAGTTGGCGCAGACCCCCGTCGGTGCGCGGGTTAACTCCTGCAATAGTTTATTGAACCCTATTGAAGTATGCTTCAGTTCAGACATCGGCTGTCAGAGAAATATTATGTGGTCAGTTACCGCAGGGTGCCTGAATGGAGCATTGAACTCAGCATAAAGGCGCATCTGTGATTGAAAAATTTGACAGATGTGAAGTCCGTCGGAAGCAGGAGTTGTCTGAGTTCAACCAAACCAAGATCCCGTCAATTCTAACATTCTGTCCACAGCTAAACCGCGGGCAAATGGTCGGAAAGCTGGGCTTAGTCGCAACTATTACATTTACTTCATGACAATCTAAATGAAAAGCAAATAAAATGTAAAGCCACAGCACACAACTCTTTCGAAGGTAGCTTTAATCCCTTACAGACTTCAGTGAACATTATTTGATGGCACGGCGTTCATGGACTAAAGCACTCGATCGCGATCCGCTAATGGACCGTCCAATGGCGTTCCGCCCACATTTGGACCCGGTGACCAGACATCAGTCGGCGCTGGTTTCCGGACGAGCGGACCCCCGCCATCGGGTATCGCGGCGGCAAGTCGCGGTGATGCTAGTCAAGCCTTTGGGTAAGTCACAACCGCGGGAGCCGCCGTCGCTTGCTGCTAGTTGTGGAAATGCCTCGTGAAAATCGTACTGGATAAATATCTGGCGGCGAGGACGGTCAGGTCTTCCCAAGCGTGGCCACATCCGTAAGTAACATGCCTCGTCGCGTGCCACCTCACTGAGACAACACTGCGTGTTGCGCAAGTGTCAGGTTTGTTGTCACATCGGGGATCATCGCCGTCGCAGGTTTACCTCAGGGCCATCAGAAGTCAGGCTGACGGGGAGGGCGGAACTGAACTTAAAGGAATGTTTTACAATGGACAAAAAGACACGAGGCAGCTGTATTTTTGAACTCTTTCATTACTGAACTTGTCATTTAATCGTGTCTTCATTACATGTAATTGAAAGCATAAAAGTTTATGCCATGGTTGGAGCGCCCTGGTGTGTGCCGCACAACCATCGCGGCCGGCGCTGCGGGCTGAGAGAGGGAGGTGAGACCCGACACCGGTCAGCTGCACGCGACTCCCACGGTTTGTGTCACTGGCCAACCATAACACTGCGATCGGCGATACATGGCGGCATCAGGGGAGAGTGGGCTCTCTGTACCACACCGAGACATGACGGAGATACGTGCCGGCATCGGTGGAAGTGGGTTGTGTGAGAAGTGTGGGAAGGGGGAATCGGAGGGACGCGAGTTGAAATTCATATGGCGGGAGGTGGTCGAATGCAGGGCCCAAATGAATGTGCACAGCCGGCCACAGACACTGCCTACAGCCTCGCTATCCGTCATTGAGCGCCGCGAGCCGGCGGCGGCCCGGCTCAGCGTCCGCCCGGCCTTCCCCACTGCACAGAGCAGTGTCGGCCGTCAGCAGACGGTTACTGTCCGGACCTTCATCAGCACCCCTCCGCCAGACCACCGTCCGCCCCCAGACATCTGCCGTCCACAGGGGACGACACCGCAGGACCGTCCGTCTGCCGACCTCAGCTCCACCTGAGCATTAATTCCCGGCGCCGGCGGCGGCGGCCACCGAGTCGGTAATGGCTTCTGGTCGCCACCGCGACTAATGCCTGCAGCGTGTCGTTTGTCTCGACTCATTACCGGGGGCGGGCCATCGGCGCGAGGCGGCCGCCTGCACTGTGTCCGCCGGCGACGGGCGACGTCTGCCGTCGACGGTCCACCGATCACCGACCGGCGCGGGGCCGACGGTCCGGCCGGCCGACCGCCGCCGGCGCCCGTTCAACCGGGCACCGCGCGCCGGCCGCCCGGTTTAAAATAACAAATTGAGCGGTGCTGGCAGTGACAGAGTCTATTTAGTTGACGGTGCGGCGCGGCGCCGCTACGGCGCCGTTTACCCCCGCCCACCGACCCGCCCGGTGCAGACTGGTAACTTCACCGGCCTGCAGACTGGGCACTGGAGGGGTACCCTGCACTGTGCGGTCACATCTAACAACCTCGAACCAATAAATCCACAAACCCACATGGAGTTGCTGACCACATCCAAACAATGCGGCCTCCTCGCCCCAAAAATCCCCCATACACAACACCCTCTGAAATCTAATCAACTGTTATGCTGCAAATAATTCCGTAATTCACCAGCAGCATCTCGTTTTCCGACAAATTTCACCGACAAGTGCTGCGCGGCTTGATCGAGTGCCCGAGCCTTTTCGCCGCCGGGAACCATGATTGATCATAGGCTTGTTTTATCGTTCGCTCGCCGGCTATTGCCTTTTTGTATACCAAAGCTACGACCAGCTATTACGGCGCTAGTTTATGGTAAAATTCACTGACCAAGCGTTAATATGCCAAAGTTGATACTGAGGGGATGCTGGATCTCTACGACCGCTTGCCGACCAAGATCCCAAGTCGTGAATAAAAACAAAACAAAAAAACAAACAAACAATGCAGTGTTTGAGCAAAATAACCCGTTTTTGGCCCTGCTCTACGGTCTGGCACTCACTCACTCTCATTTCGTCGAACACAAACGTACATTGAAAGCTACCTGACCTGACCACTGATATCCATCAGGGTTCCTGCGGTCTCGGCTTTTTCCACCCATCTCCATGACTTGATCGCACAACCGCCACGGCCCGCCTCCCCGCCACCCACGGGAAGCCTCCCTCCTCCCCTCCGTCCCCGGGGAGTACGCTCCCCACCGGTGTGCCGCCGGCCGACTGGGGCCAATATACGCTGTGGCCGCGACGGCGGCAGCACAAATGAATCGCCGATTGCGTGCCGCTCCATTAGAGAGCGTTCCGACCGGCTGGCCGCGGCAGAGGAGCCGGCGGACGGTGCCAGGGGGAGGTCGAGGGGTCGCGGTCCTCACCTGGATGAATAGCCATGAGGTGATGAGCGCCAGGCTGCTGTACTGGCCGTTGAAGCGGTAGTGGTACGCGTAGAAGCAGTAGTGGTACAGGAAGAAGAACCTGTTGAAAGAGAACGGGAGATTCGCGTCAGAGATGGGGCAGAGGAGGCAGCTTTCGCGCATAGCATCGCTAACGGCGAGTGGGCACTGTGGTCTGCCTGTGTAATGAAAACGTAGCTCAAGTCTTCCGAGACCATCCGAGATAAATATGGCTCACCAACCGCGGCGATACGGTTGATCGGCGCAGAAGACAGACCATTACTTATAATCCACGCACGTTCACGGCGGGTGTCTCACCGCATGAGCTGGCACGGCACGGGACACGCGGCGGGCACAGTGCTCCGATACCTGGGTCAGAGCGAGGCAGCGCCAGGCCTGGTGATTTCCCGTGGGACGGCGGTGACGGTTAGGTCGAGCGCCGGCCGATACTTACCGACCCGACCGGCCGCATCTGAATACGCGCCCGTCGAGACGGAGCGGTACTGAGCGGGCTGCTGGAGCGGGCACGGTGGGTGGGAGAAAGGAGGGGAGGGAGGGAGGGATCAGGGAGTTCTGGCTCAGCACGGCAGCGACCGATAGACAGGTGAATCGCTCATCGGCGCTTGAAATCACGCACAGTCCGCTGACAGGGATCCAGGAAGCCAGGGATTTCCACTTTCACACACCTGGAAACACCACTTCTGTACTCGCATATAAGAGAGAAAGAGAGAGAGAGAGAGAGAGAGAGAGAGAGAGAGAGAGAGAGAGAGAGAGAGAGAGAGAGAGAGAGAGAGAGAGAGAGAGAGGGAGAGCGAGGGCGAGGGCGAGGGCGAGGGCGAGGGCGAGGGCGAGGGCGAGGGCGAGGGCGAGGGCGAGGGCGAGGGCGAGGGCGAGGGCGAGGGCGAGGGCGAGGGCGAGGGCGAGAGAGAGAGAGAGAGAGAGAGAGAGAGAGAGAGAGAGAGAGAGAGAGAGAGAGAGAGAGAGAGAGAGAGAGAGAGAGAGAGAGAGAGAGAGAGAGACCACAGGGGTCCAACAGCGAACACATTTCAACAACCTACATGCCATGTCAGGTTCCGGCGGGTGGATTTAATCCAGTCATTTTTTTTTGTCGTAAATGTCGGCGTTCTTTTGAGGCGGACGTTTGTGGCAGCCGCCAGAGTCGCTGTCAGCGCCCACCCGGCGTTCTCCCTGGCACGGGCGGAGTCGCGCACCGCCGGCGAATCAACCTCCCACCGAAAAAGGAGCCCGCTCCTACCACCTACAGCGGTCCAGTGAACAGTCACTGCTGGCTTTATACTCCGCAATCCGAGCAAAAACTACAAACAGGAATGGTTAAATCCAACTGATAGTCATAAAGCAGGATGGTTTGATAGACCACCCTTCGCACTATGCACTATAAGGAGCAAAAATACGAAGAATTGCTGTTAGATAACCTTCAATCGGTTTACCTCTGTACATTTTACTGCTATTCATCTAAGCAATGTCACTCTCCTCTTATGCGTGATATATGGTGTCTTGCGACCGTTGCGTAATGCACACACCACGAAAAAGCATCAACCACATATGCATTATGCATGTGATAGTATTTTGTTGTTGTCTGGATGTGCATTGCGCATACTCGTAATCTACGAATGTTTGTGTGTATATGACAGACTACGGGCCGGCCCGTCCATTCCACCTGCAGCTAGCAGGCCCCGTACTACGGGGCCTGCTAGCTGCAGGTGGAATGGACGGGCCGTGCACAGACAGACTTCTAAGACGAACTCAGAGGCAACAGACTGCCACCGTCCCAGTCAGCCTGACATGGGACCGACGGTCGGGTCTCTCTCCCCGGCGATCGGACGATCCAAACCACACGGCGCCACGGCCGCGCCAGAGCTGCCGCGACCAATTCCACTAACACCGGCGACAAAATACCCGGGCTTCGAATTCTTGTGATTGCTTCTGCGGCGCGTTCGGGGCACGACCGACGGGCCCGGCCCGGCTAATGGAATGGCGCGCCTCGTCCCCCGCGGTCACACGTGCCGACGACCAGACCACCGCCTCCCAGAGAGGCGTGCGGCTGCTCAGCGCGGGCTCCCGCCGCTGAGACCGACATACATAGTTCTCAGTGGAGACCAACCTGAGGCCCACACAGTTCTTACCGGAGACCATCGCCTCCCCAAGAGCCATACAGAAACTCAGTGGAGACCACAACCTCCCTGAAACTCGTACAGCAGCTCAGTGGAGAACGCACCATTTCTTAGGCGCAGGTGTAAGTAGTGGCAGGCTTACCTGAGGAAATCTTTGCGGTTGATGGCCCTGTATGACAGACTCACCTGTTTGCAGCTAATGGCCATGTGTGAAGCTCACCTGAGGAAGTGTTTGCGGCTGATGGCAATGTGACAGGCTCACCTGTTTGCGGCTGACGGACGGGTGTCGGGCTCACCTGAGGAAGTGTTTGCGGCTGATGGCAGTGTGGCAGCACACGGCGTCGTACTGGTCCACCAGCCACACCATCAGGATGACGTAGAACGCCGTGGTCGAGTCGTTGAAGAACTCGGACATCACCGCCTCCATACCTGAAACGGATAGGGCAAATCATTAACGGCTCACAGTACCCACCGAAGATATAGCCTAAGCACGCCTGGAAATGCGAGCATCAGTTTAACATTGATTGGAATTACAGCCAAATAAAGCACCTAAAAAAACGTGTTCATTTCGATAGGGCTGTAACCATGAAATATTGAGAAAATAGGCCGGGGTTAATACGTCACTGGAGCATGAATTCCTGTGTGGAACAGGACGACAAGCTGACCTTATCATGAAGTCACATTTACACATAGCCTCGTCAAATTTACACTTCCAAGCTTGGCATGTCAGACTCCGACAAAAGGAATCAGGCTTGAGCATTTTGAGGTGCTAAATCGGAGCCCTAGTTCAGACACCACGCCATTCTTCCGAGACAAATGATCTCCTTCACAAGGTGCCCCTTTGTGTCGGCTGACGCTTTGACATATCACTGCGCTAAGCTTCTGGGAGTCCATGATACACTTAAGCCCCTCCCTATTGACGAGCTACCCCGCCGGAGTCACGGGAAGGCATCCATTTGAGAGCGGTACACCTGTTCAGCCGGGGCGGCTCACGTGGTTGGAGCGTGGCGCCGGTCGGCCGGCCCGGTTCCCGGACCGGCACCTCCCGGCGGCCGCACCGGCGCACCGTTCCCAGAAAGAAGCACCGCCCTCCGCCGCCGGATAATTCAAACATATTACGTTCAATATGCTGGCCGCCGGTGAAGGGGGCCGGTGAGCAGACAGCTCAGCTCGCTCAGCTCGGCAGGTCGGCCGGTCGGCGGTGGGTCGGCCCCGGTGCTTTGTACCGGCAGTCCGGACTGAGCGCTCGGCCTGGGACGGACCGTGCTCGGCTCCGGGCGGGTCGGACTCGGCCGGCGGCGGGGGAGGAGGAGCGGTCGATCCGTTTCCGCGCGCGGGGCTCTCCGCCGGCTCCGACGGACTGGTCGCTGCTCAGGGAGCCGGTGCGCCAATCCTCTTACCGGCCGGTGAGCCGCTTACTGCGCGAAACGGCCGCGCCACTCTGGCATACCGCTCCAGTACCGGGGTGTGCCCGAGAGTCCCGCACTGGCATACCGCTCCAGTACCGGGGTGTGCCCGAGAGTCCCGCACTGGCATACCGCTCCAGTATCGGGGTGTACCCGAGAGTCCCGCACTGGCATACCGCTCTAGTACCGGGGTATGCCCGAGAGACCCGCACTGGAATACCGCTCCAGTACCGGGGTGTGCCCGAGAGTCCCGCACTGGCATACCGCTCCAGTACCGGGGTACGATACAACGCTCCAGACTCCAGAGTCCAGCACTGGAACATGGTACACTGTTCCCGTACGAGGGTAGAAGACGCTGCTGACCAGTTCCGCACTGGGGCACGATACAACGGTCCGGTAGTCCGTATTAGGGTGCGATGCAAGGTACTCTAGTTGATAGCCCGCATCTTGAGCTACGATACAGCGTTTACTGAATAATATCGAGGTAAAATACGCCGTTCCCATGCAAGAGGTGTTACACGCCGCCCCTAACTAGAGCATGATTCACTGCTTCCGCCGGCCGACACTGAGCCTGGAATATTCTGTAAGTAGAGGACTGGAATATTCTGCACAAGGGTGATTTCCAGTGGGCACTGTTCCATGGATCGTGAATGCCTTCGATCCTACAACTGACGTAAGCCCATAAAAAAGCCGGGGTACACTTGCCTGGATGAGCTTGAAGTATTTTCTTATTTTGATCGCGGTGTAACCACAGCACTTGAGACACTGCTGCTCAGTTGAGCATTTCAGGGGGAGTCGTAATAAATGTTTGGTAAAAATCATCAACCAGTAGCGACACGAAAACTAAAATGATGTGGGAAAAACCATACTGCAGTGCCGACTAATGGTAGAGCAGGCCACGCCTTACCAAGCACTCATAGCAGGGCATTCTCTCCCCCCCCCCCCAACAAGCGACTCGGAGCGTGGCCGTGGCCAGACAGAAAGGCTGGGACAGCTAGTGGCAGTGACTGATAAAAAGAGAATGGACTCGTTTCACGAGTCCGCTCTCGTTGGCTCCATCAGACGGCCGGTGTCGATTCAATCCTATCTTCCCGGGTCCAACAGAGAGTCGATTCTCACACACCAGTGAGCTGGGCTCAACTGATCAGAGCCGAGCCGGACACTTTCACGCCATTTTGACCCCGACCGGCTCACATGACAACGCTATGGATGCCGCCAAGGAGTCATCGGCACAATGACATTCAATAGCGGGACGTTCAAACGCCACCGGAAAAACCAGGAGCTCACATCGAGCATCTTCCAAGCATGTTCTTTTAATAGCCAGTGATTTAATAAAATATTCAAGAAATCTGTAATAAAAACTTCAAAGCTTACTCCTCTGAACAGTCAACCACCAGGTGTAAGGTTAAACAGTAAACCACCGGAGTTCAGTACCCAGCGAACTTTAATGAAGCCGCCAGCCAACAAGCATTATTGCCCGAGCCCAATGACTCAATAACTGTTTGTGCAAGTATTCGAGCCGTCCTCTGGCTATAACTCAAAAGCAAACAAACGAAAACGGTGGCACAACATTACTGGGGAAACTATGTTAAAAATCATGGAACACGCAATGCATCGTAGGGTGGCCTTCGGAGCAATAGAAGCTACTCCTCCTCTATAATCGACAAACATGGGCGTTCCTGGTAAAAACTGACATAACGCGTCGCAGAAAATCTATATACTGGGGCAGCTGGGTTCGAAATGTTGAGCTCTTGTTTTTCCGCGGCCAACTTGCTCGAGTCCTCTGAAGTTGTCCGCAGTACAACTTGGCAAATTTCAAACTGAGCAGCCGCCATGAAGAAGACGCTGTCAGGTCACATTTTAAGTTGATGAACATGCCAGCAATCTGATGTCGGCCGCGGCACTTAATCATATTATATGAATCATTCATCGGCTGGAAGTTGGTCGCTGCCGGCAGGTCCATCCTCTCATCGGAGCGGTCACAGACTGACAGTGACGAGCGAGATAGTGACGGCGGAACGGTCTTCAAACGGTAGTATCGGACGGCCGGCCGCCTCGAGGGCTGCCTCAGGTGGACGAACTGGCGGCTGGAAGGATGGATTGATGAACTGACTCGACACACCCGGCCGGCCGCTCGCCCACGAAGTTATTCCTTCTTCAGAAATCAGAGGCTTACATATTATGTAGTCGGTGAGAATGGTCCACTGCCGTGATGATCTACCATCAACCACATTCAAAAGAGATCATCAAGTGCCACAGGACAGAAACAGAAGACGTCCGCCTCGCCTAGCAGGACCCAAGCCATCGAAAAGACACAGTCAAAGGATCCATCGTCAATCGAGAAACCCCTGAACAGATCCCATCGCCCTATCGGACAGAGCCCATCCAACGGTCCAGATCGAGCGGCGCCCGGCGGCGCTGGCTCGGGTGTCAGCCGTCACTCCGTCATCTGTCAACCCGTCACACCCGTCACGTCATCGTTGACAGGTCTGAGGACGCGGTGACAATTCGTCCGAACTTGGCCGGCGCCGCTGGAGGCGGCTGTCATGGGTAAAACTGGTCCTGGACTCTAGTTTCAACACCACAGGGACGACTGGCGCTGCACTGAAAAGACGCAACTAGGGTCAACGAGAAAATAATGCCTAAATTCGCGAATACAAGTGAAAAGCGTAAAATAAGCTGCAGTCATAATATTTTGCATGAAGCAGATTCGGGCTTTTCACCCCTCGTAAAATACGAATAGCGACAGCTCGGCCTGGTTTCCTCTAGCCTTGGATTATATAACAAGGGTGTGGAAGTGGCTGCCTTCCTTAGGTCAGCTTCCATTACCGCGACTTCCTCGGTACTTCCTCGCCATTTCGAGCGGCGCAGTGGCCGGTAAACTGTGGCGTCCGGCAGCGGTGACAGACTGCGAGCAGCCAGCGGCGTGTTCACACGCCACCGGTGCCTGGGCGCCGTCCGACACCGGTCGCTATCTGTCTCGACACGAGAGGTAGACGGCGCAGGGCTCTGGAACTCCGCACTGCACCGGAGGACTGGACAGGTAGGTCACCTGTGTCTATCTACCCTTCCCCTGCCTCAGACACCTCTAACAGAAATCATTCCCCATCCCTACAGAACGGGCAGACCTCTCCGCGGGGACAGGTCACATCTGATCCCGCTCGGTGAGCAGCCCCCGCGCGGCGGACACCACCCGCACATACAAACGCACGCGGTCGCGGACCACGGTGTAGGGGATCGATAGCTCTGTCCAGATAAGGCGCCTGCCGCGCCACGGCTCCGCGGCACCGGCCCCGCCCCGTGTCGCTATCGCAGGCCAGACGTGCACACGTTACTCACAGCTGTGCAGCTGCCCATCGAGAGGCATAGTCGGAAACATATGAATCAGACTTGGGCACTAGCCTGGGGAAACGTTAGCCGATCGTGACAACTCAACATAGATGATGTTCCGTCAACGAGACAATCAAAGAGAAAGGGCGACTCGCTCTCGCAACTCAATAACTCCAAGATCTTAGGTGAATCATAAAAAAATCTATCGAGCAAACGACAGTTCCCATCCGGACAGCAGATAGCCGGACCGAGTCTCACCCTTCGGAGAGTCAGTAGCATTACCGAGTGTTGGGTGAGGTAGAAGGGGAAACACTGGCGCGCCGTGGGGATACCGAATAACGAAATCGATCAGTCAATTGCTGACCGAACGCGTATGATGCGCTAACAGGTGGCCCAGTTGCAAGAATGGACACATTTCTAGCTGAACTGGAAGCCCAACCGCTAAAACTAGCTGGATTGGATGATGGATCGCTACCTCGTCAATGAGCCGAATCATCGGATCACGGGATCTCTGTTCAATCTCTATGGCCGGGCATAGGCCGGGGTCACCGGAAGGTGACCGAGGTCACCCCGTGCCATGAGGACAAGTTCACCGGACGTTGGGCCCGGTTCACCCCGTGTCATCATACCAAGTTCACCGAATGCCAATCCGAGGTCACCCCTTGACATGAGACTCAGTTCACCGAACGCCAATCCGAGGTCACCGCGTGGCATGAGACCCAGTTCACCCCGTGCCATCAGGCCGAGTTCACCGGGCCCATGGATGAAGTATTTCTAATCCATGCCGGGCCGGGGTGTCACGTGGCCGGCAGGGGCGGGGGCGGCGCCTCCTCCCGGGACGGCTGGCGGCGGGCCGGCGCCGGCGGCCACACGCCGTGTTTGGGACGCCCAGATAAGCCCCTAATCGAATTGGCTGACCGACAGCGGCCGGCGCGGCGTCACTGCTGGCTGAGCGCCAGGGCCGGACCAGGGAGCGGCGCGTCGCTGAAAACCGCGGTACGGAGCTGAGCGGAACAGGGCGGGACAGCGGATGGAATGTACGGGCGGAACACTGGATGTGATACTGGACGGAGCATGTTGGAGGGACACCATGCCGGAATAAAAGGGGCGGGATACTCGAAGGGCATGGGGGGGGGGGGATTGAGCTTGGTGCGATAGTGATGTAATGACCTCTACACAGTGATTCGTAATAAGGTCTCCTATTGCATTGGATGCAACGATTAGCTGCATATTGATTACTATTAGCACGGTAAAAATCATGTCCCTTCCCCGTGTAAGTTACGTCGAACGTCTTCTATATATGATATACTACACCTCACCACCACCATTCGAAACACTGTAAGTATTTTTATACGTCATTATTGTAGCTAGGTGATGGATGGAAATTACAAGGATATTTCCACTTTTCAACGGAAATATTCCGCAAATAGATTTTAGATCACCTAGCAGCCACTAACTAGCCTAAAGGATGGTGGCACCTAAGGTAGCTCACTAAATCTGAAGAATTGCGTCAACAACGAACTTAGAGAACGCATCCATTACACGGCCAGAATCGACGGCTCATTTGATAGAAGCCTTCTGGGCCAGGAAGAGAGGAAACGCTATGTTTACATTTGCATATCATTAGTATTATTCGACAAAAGTAGCTCTCTTTGCGGTCTGGCTTTATCGAGAATAAGTAATCAGTAGGCTAAAACAGCAATAGAACTATCAAAATGAGCTTATCTTTCAAACACGGTGATTCCCACGCCGAACTTGGACACCAGCAAAGTAGAAAAATCCTCAATCTGCAGAAAAGCCCCAGGACTGGGCGGTTCCAAGAGCAGCAGCCCCGGGGAAGGAGCACTCGTTCTGCAACGTGACCTGACCATTGACCAACTGCGGTGCGCAGGCTCGGACTTCCCGGGAAGCGGCGGATGTGATGGTCCCCTCGGCAGTGTCACGGTATGGCTCGGGTCCTAACGGACGCGGTTGTGGTGCAGTCCTTCATGGTCCTTCATACCCGAAATGACCAAGTCACAGCTGTAGTTTCACGGAACCGGCTGATCCCCAGCCTGTGAGCCTGTCAAGGAATCACGCGGTCTTCAGCTTCGTGGCCACTGAAAACAGCACCGCTCACATTCTGTCCGAGTTGCAGCCAGAACAGCGGGCAATACCAGTACAATCCTCGCAGGTCCTTTAGCACCAGGATGTTTTGGCGTATAAATATAAGAAACATTGTGTGCCACCATGGGAATGCTCAGAGCCACTTCCCCAGTATGTCGGCCACACTGCGGTCTGCAGTCTGCAGTACCAGTACCAGAATGTACCCCACCGCCAGTGCCACCATGCCCCGGCACTATCCAGCACCAGTACCACCATTAGCCCGCCGCAGTCCTATCCCCAGAACGTCACGGGAGGTCTGGCACGCCCGGCGAGAGCAGCGTCCACTCATTACCTATTAACGTAGTCGCCGGTCGGCGGCCGCCTTTTAGCCATTATCGGCCCGAAACGAGCGCAGGCAGCACTGCCGGCCGTCGGCACTGCCACCGAGACTGAATCAGTAAAACGAGCCGTCCCGCCCGCCATCGGCTGGCCGTGTTAAATAGTCAGACGGCCATCGGTGCGACCCGAACGGCGCGAGCACGGCGGAGAGACGGCGGAGCGGCGAGCAACAGGCGGGTAAGGGGACTGCGACTCACCAGCAGACCGGTCATCGGAACGGCCAGCAATGGGACAGTGGACGGAGACTGTGCCCTAGCTGCCAGCTCTCCGAGTGACCAGCAGCAGGAACAGTCGGGGAAAACGCTGCAGCCTACCGCCGGTCTCAGAAAGACAAGAAGCGTGCAGGACGGGGCGTGCGCTGCGTTCCAGACATGGTCCTTAGAGGGCGTGGCCGACCAGAATGACGATAGTCAGATTGGCCAAATCACTATAAACGACAAAGTTCTGCTCAAAAGCACTCATAAACAATAACAAAAGCTTGTCTCTGGACCGAGCCAAACTGATAAAAAGTGTGTTCACTGATCAATTACTCATTATTTTCCCGTTGACTGTTGCAAAGCAAGTCGCATGGGTGTTGCATTGGCATCAGCACACCCGGTGCCCGGATATCCCCAGCCCCTCCATATCCCCATCCCTGCCGCGGGGCCGACCATCCCACCCCACTAACGCAACAGATGGCCGCTCACTAACACCCATGACAGCACCGGCGACAGGGCAAACCTCGTAACTCGGGCACAATCTTCAGCGGGCGCCGGCCGCCCGATCGGCGCGAGCAAACACGGCGCGAGCCTGATCGATTACCGAGCTGACACGGGCCGGGCGGCGACCGGAGACAAACACCAACAGCGCCGGCCGTGTGACCAACCGAGACGACTGAGGTGAACAGTTTGAATGGTCAATCGCGAGAATATTAACTATGCATTCAAACAGCCGGCTGGGTCATAGATGACAGCCGCCTATTCCCTAAGTGGGCGTAGTTTTTTAGTTGGACGGCGTTGATGATCGTCATATTGAACGAGCGTGACTGTGTACACTAGCCGCTAGCGCACTAAAGCGCATCCCGCGAAATCGGTAGGTAGTTGGCTTGGTGGTTGAATAGATGGCAAGACCAGCCCAGTACCTGTAGTACACACGTGAATCTACACTGCATGGCCTGGGGATGACCCGGTCAGTAGACTTTGCAGTGTGTACAGGGCGGGGAAAATCCCGACCCACACTGTCATCCACATAGCCCGTGTAGCGGACGTCATATAGGGCTGTCCTTCCCCGTCTGCCGTGTGTATGAGCAAGTGGTTGATACTCACCGACCAGCGCCAGAATAACGGTCAGCACTGACTGTGTAGTTTGTACACCATACAGCAAACAGTACCGACCCCAGCCTGCAGTGTGTATGAATTAGTGGTAGATACTCACCAACCAGCGCCAGAATAACGGTCAGCACTGACTGTGTAGTTTGTACACCATACAGCAAACAGTACCGACCCCAGCCTGCAGTGTGTATGAATTAGTGGTAGATACTCACCAACCAGCGCCAGAATAACGGTCAGCAGCGGGGCCGCCGGGAAGTGGGCGATCGTGTTGGCCTCCAACATCTGCAGCAGGTCCACTGGAACGAACAAAGGGGGGAGGTTCATCAAGTTAGTACTCAGTTATAAGCAATCAGAATACACGGTATCGGGCACTCTGTAGAACGTACGAACCCGGGGACAGGATAGCGTGTCAGTACATGTTGGCCAGTGCACATCGGTCACGCACCGGCACAGAGCATCTGGGTCAGTAAAATATTTCATGTGCGAATCCATGTGCTCGAAACATTAAAAAGAGTGAAAAAGGCATAAAATCACTTCGGATATGTATTATAGGCACAGGAAACAAAATCATCGCGAGGACAATCGGTGCGAGTCGTCTTCTCATCGCCAGCCCGAACTGAAAAACAGCAGCTCGGCGACAGAAACGACGTGTAAGTGTGGTATTGTGCTGTCGTAGGATGCATTTATGTTAAATACCGTAAAGTGGGGCTATTTGAAACGGATTTTTACAGTTTTTGGCCTCTCCCTTTAAGACGGTTCATATTTCTTATAGCATGTAAATTGCAAAAATGTAGTTCTCCGTAAGCTCTTTCATATAGGTGCATTTTGGTTCAGCTAGTAAAAATGATTAAGGATATTTTTTTAGTTAAAGCCTGTCTCAAATAGCCCCATAGGGTGGGGCTATTTGAGACAGTTTTAGTTACGAAGAAATTGAAGAAAATCGGTCACGCTAGAGATAATTTTTTAAATGCCATGTGATTGGAAATTAAATTTTGATCATTCTGGCAAAAATTGCTTTTGCAAAGACAGTTACATTTCCTTTATATTCAATCTTTTCCTTTTTCGTAGGATGCTTCATTTCGGTAGGTTATAAAATTGCATCACTATATGCTAAGGCTGTCATAATATGATGTGACCCTAAACTTTCCAATTTGCAGAATGATCATCAAGGACTATTCTAAAGACAACAACAGTAAAATTTTGAAAGAAAGTTTTTGTATATAGCCCTGGTGGCGTGAAAACAGACATACTGAAAGTCGGTGGGGCTATTTGAGACAGGCTCGCTACCTAATGAAGCACACCGTAATGAATCAAACGAGCTAAAAGGTTTCCCAAAACATTTAAGTGAATAGTCTGCATGATTCCTTGTTCCATTGCACATCTTCATGCGAAGAAATAACAGAAAAATGTTAAGCGGTTTTGATTTTATGACGATTTTCCTCGATCGCTGCATGCTGTATCAATTGGCCGGTAACCCTACCACATCAAGCCTACTTGCATAGGCTCACCTAACAGTACGTCCATGTGTTAAGTAATCTTCAATGGTGTTTTTTGGTCAACCAAGGTAGACATGTGTTATTGTCGACTAAGTAAGTGACTGATGAAGCACATTTTAAGCACATATTCATCAGAATAACTAGTTTGGTCACCAGCTAAAGGGTCATTATGTTACACTACGAACATGTAAATATTGCTTCCTGCTAAATACCATGAACCCACTGCACGTTTATGACCACGACCAATTCATCGGTGCTACTCATGTCGAACGTTCGATGCACTTCAAGTAGATCGTGGTAAGTCTTCTCGGGTGCATTCGCATCACCATTATCAGTAGCTATTTGGCATATCGGTTGAGGTTTGACCAGGTGGGCATCATCGGGATTCTGAGACAATGGGTTACGCAATCGGCAGTAACGTTAACAATGTATAATATTTTCATGAAAAATATGCTTAGCCTTTAAGTAAAACGGTAGTAGCGATAGATGCAGTGCCGAAGCTGTTAAAATTTCAACTATGTTAAGCGGCAGGTAGGGGTCCTTTTCGAGCAACTTAAATTGTGCGTTTTTCTGTATTTCGTATTTTAGACCAAATTTCTTTCGAAACTTTTCGAAATTTTTCAAAAAGGTTATTCAGGTCATTCACTGTTCAATTCCACATCAGCCTAAGCAAAAATGACGAAAAAATATCGAACGGTTTTCATTTTACAGCGATTTTACTAAACCACTACTTTACTGTCTCAAATAGCCCCACTGTCTCAAATAGCCCCACTTTACGGTATGTTTTTATCACATTTTCGTTCACTTGTTGAATTTCCGATGTGTGTTTCTTAGGCACAGAAAACTGTTGTTTGCAGCGGATGTACCCCTCGAAGTGGAATAAAAGATCCCAACAAAAACAATAAACAAGCTATGGTAAAGTGAGTAAGTTAAAAACAAGCCAAGTTGGTTCAGTCTCAGCCAGCTAACAATAACTCCGTTATAAGAAAACTACGCTTGAGATCGATCGCTTACAGCCTCAGAAGCGTGCGCGAGGCTACATAGAACCGTCAGCGAGCGACTCCGTCCCGACTGACTCATACTACATTGTCAGCGGGATGTAGGTGTCACCAGGCATATCACATTGCCTACAGCAATAACGTTCTCGGCAGAACCGTGAAAGGGACACCGTGCCAATTTCCGACAGGAGTCTTCTTGGAAAACCGCTCGACCATAATAGAGACATGACAAAGGACTGAGCCATCCAAGCACTGCATACGTGCGTACGGGTAACTCAATACCAGACGCCGGAGAATTGAGTCTGCGCGCTCCAGGACAGGCCACCAGGATGCTCGCTTCAGCTCGGCTCGCTCCAGCACGGTTCACGCAGCCCGGCGGTGCCTCAGCCCCTCACGGCACGAGCAGCGGAACACCGCCCACCATTCCAGTGACCACCGGAACCGGAGAGCCAGCCCGAGTGACCGGCCGCCGACTCTCCAGGGCAGCCGGCAGCGCCGCCGCTCGGCCCCAAATAAGGCCATAAATTTAATACGGCATCGCTAACAGGCTGGCGGCAGGGCGGTCCCCGGGCGGCGGCGGCGGCGGCGGCGGGGCGGGCGGAGTCCGGCGGCGGCGGCTCCGGTTGCAATTAGAGCTGCCACGGGCGGGCCGGGCCGGCGGCCGGCTCGGCTTTCACTGCAGTCGGCCGTAATACCGGGCCAAGAGGCGGCCCTCGACTCTGGCCCGCGGCCATACCGCCGCCCATATTGAGCGACTCCGGCAGACGGAGCGTGTCCGGTGGCGTTGAGCGTCCGGTGACACTTGGAAGGTTCCGGTGACACAGTTAAGGCCGCCCCACACTGGACCTCGCATGCGGGTTGCGAGTTTGCGGGTTTTGAGTTTGCGGACATAATACTAATTCATAGAGTGATTACAGCGTTCCCTTATGGTCACTCCATGAATGCAGTGAAGCCGGTACACCTTCAGAAAATTTCATATTGTCGCAATACCAGCACAACGAACCAAAATTAGACTCCAACGAAAAACTCGCAGACCTCGCAGAACTCGCAGACCTCGCAGCGAGGAAAATCGAAAGTTGACTCAAAACTAACTTTTGGAATGCGATGCAAGGTAGCTCGCAAGCTAAAAACATGCAGACTCGCTTGTTAGATGGTAGTGTGGGTCACTCAGCATAGATTGTATTATTTAAATTTGAAGAAACCCGAAAACCCAAAAACCCGCAACCCGCATGCGAGGTTCGGTGTGGGGCGGCCATTAGATGACAGTTACCCGGTTCCGGTGACAGTCAGATGGCAGTTCTACGGCTTCTGGTCATTCAGTTGACACCAGTTTTATCTCCAGTGACCGAATGTCACAGTCATATGACAGCTCTCTGGTTTCAGTGACGAGCGTCAGTCAGATGACAGTTCATCGCTTCCGATGACAATTGACAGGTGCATCGGAACTCATCCAGCAGAGCGTGAAGCAGACGGGGTCTGAGTGCACCAGAGGTGGTTCGAGAACGGAGCGGCGACCGAACCATCGAGATAGTCTGACACTCGGCGGCAGACAGTAGCGAACAGTCGAACAGCACTCAATAGTTACAGCGAAAGCTGTCTCCCGTCTCTTTTTGTCTCTTTCAGTTGTCTAAGACACATGGAATTGTCCGAAGACAGATTTAATCTCTACGCGGCAGGCAACGCATGAAATACGAATGTTTGCCAGGACAGGTCAGAAGAATCTTACGAGACTGGAGACAGAGGGTGTCCCTGGATGCGGGGGGGGGAGGGGGGAGGAGGGGGGAGGGACAATGCTGCCACTGTCCACATATCCAAAAATAAATTTCATCATTTCGTTAACCGGAGACCAGAAGCTCCTCTCTCAGTTATCGCTCGCGGTACGGCAGTACTCACCAATGAAGAGAAATATTTGCTGGTGAGAATAACGAAGAAGCATGGAGACCGTCAGCGTCTGCAAAGAAAGAAATAAAGTCACAGAGTTAAAATGACGATAAGTCAGTGTTGGTCTACGATGTTTTAAAAGCTCAAACAATACTTCCTATGATCTTCCTTGGAACACAAAAAGAGTTCGTAAGCCGTTGGTACAGCTTTGACAATTTTTCCCATGTCCATAAAGTAATGTAAAGGTCACGGTGACTATAAATAGTAAAGGTAAGTGGTCAGCAGACTTGTGCCAAGGTCCCAAAAAGGTCCAAGATCCAGGGTTCGCAGAGTCCAAGGTCTGGGACCTTGATGGATCCTGGACCTTGCGTTGTCATTTTTGTCGTGAGACCTTGGAAACCCAGGACCTTAAAACATCCATATGCCGCGAGACCTTGGAATCCCAGGACCTCAACATTTGCATATGTCGCGAGACCTTGGAATCCCAGGACCTCAACATTTGCATATGTCGCGAGACCTTGGAATCCCAGGACCTCAACATTTGCATATGCCGCGAGACCTTGGAATCCCAGGACATCAACATTTCATGTGACATGAGACCTTAGAAACCCAGGACCTCAACATTTCATATGCCGTGAAACCATGGAAACCCAGGGGTCAGGACCTCAAAATTGTGGTATGCTGCAAGACCCTGCAGAATGCAGACCTTCAGTCCCAGTTTTATTATTTCTCATGGGATCTTAGAAGGGTCTGCTGGATCTACACCATCATTTTGTTGAGGGACCTCAAGAATTCTGGAAGCAGGACCATGAGGTTTATGTTGCACATGGGCCACTAAGGACCCTGCACTAGGTTTTGTCTGTAAACACTTCAATAAATATCTTAAGTTGAGCCGCTGAGCGACCAGCTGCAAGGGGCTAGGATAGATACATGAAGAGAAAATGAACCAGACTGTGTAGACATATACAGAGCCAAATCGTTGTCATAGCTGTGAGGCAGAACTGGTACAAGAGACCTGGAAGCTTTTTACATTATCAATGTTATGGATTATGAAACTGTCAAACAGTGGACAGTGGTGGTTTGGAAAGTTCTTTTCTAATCTCACCTGACATATTTTCTGGGCCTTGTTTTCTGGGTTGTGATATGCCGGGCTTGAAGCTACTTGGAAGCTACCCTGACCCACTGACCAAGTAAGTGTCAAACTTATTTGATTTGCAAGTCATCAAATCACCATTGAGCAATGAGCATCCAATATAAGCAATGATTCCATGACAGTTCAACTTTTTCGTTTAGCAGGTTTTCGTCGGACAATTTTTCGTCTGCAGATTTTCGTCCGCAGACTTCGTCTATGCATTTTTCGCCTGTGCATCGATAATTTATCTAAGTCCGCGCATTTTTTCGTAAGGACATTTTCCGCCTCGTCCAGACGAAAAAAATGCCGGACAGAAAAATACTCCGACGAAAAATGCACCAAATCAATTCGTACAGACGAATAAATGCAAGACGAAAAAGTCAGACGAAAATCTGCCGACGAAGAACCGTCTGACAAAAAAAATTGTCATGGAATTTTGTTCAGAGCCTTCAAGCTTATGTGAATGAACAGTAAGTAAGGTCTGCACTCGCTGATGCTCTAATTCCATTGGCTTAATCGATCAGTTTTTTGTGTGAGCGCTCGCGAAAACAAGACTTAGAACATATTTGAGTTTTTATCCAGGACCCTGTTCGGTCGCTGTTTTTATATCAGCGTGCGGCTTGGCCTCTCATTGGTCTAACGAATAGACCACTTGAATTCGACCAATGAGGAGCCAAGAAGTTAGCAGCATGGTCGCAGCCTGCTGATAAATAAACGGGGTGCGAACAGAGCTCTAGGTATTATGTAACTGAATCAAATGTGCAGAAAATCGAAAGCATATAACAATCCAATTCAATTTTTCCATTTTTATGAAGCCTGTAGGTTTTATTTCTGGGTTTTTTATCTTGCCCGAAAGAATACTTGGATGTCTGTCTTCAATAACTGTAAGGTGCTATCCTACATTCATAATGATCAGGTAAGATTGATTTGAAAGGGACATGACAATGCAAAATGCAAGGTACCTATTACCTACCTATATTTTTATGAACATGTCAGGCTAAAGAAGGAGAGATTGATATCATGATTCATCTTTAACTTTGACTTGTGTTGAAGCTCCCCCTACCTATGTTGGTAAATGAAAACCACCACAGGTTTGCATAGGTTCTGCCCCTTTTAATGTTGCTGGGCATCCGTTGGCAGAATATTTAGAAGTAAGCCTGCTCATCAGAATGTTAGTTTAAGTTCTTGTTGTGGGACCCTGAATACTTTGGATCCTGAGATGTATTTTTGCCGTGGGACCTTGAGGACTGTGGACCCTGAACTCTGAAGTGTGTACTTATCATGGGACCTTGGGGACTGTGGATCCCGAAATTCACGCTTGTCGTGGGACCCTAGGGACTGTGGATCCTGCAATGCATTCTTGTCGTGGGACCTTGGGGACTGTGGATCCTGCAATGTATATTTGCCGTGGGACCTTGGAAACCTTGGATTCTAGAAATTGAATTTGCCGTGGGACCTTGGAAACCTTGATTCTAGAAATTGAATTTGCCGTGGGACCTTGGAAACCTTGGATTCTAGAAATTGAGTTTGCCGTGGGACCTTGGAAACCTTGGATTCTAGAAATTGAATTTGCCGTGGGACCTTGGAAACCTTGGATTCTAGAAATTGAATTTGCCGTGGGACCTTGAGGATCCTGGATCTTGATTTTTGGTCACGGCACAAGTCTGGTGGTCAGATAAATACTATGTCGCTGACGCACCATCATCAATTAGTGGGGAATAGGACAGGCACCGCCTACAACACATCTTTATCTACTCCCTCCTTGGAGGAAAATACAGAGGCTCCCACAGGCAAGAAACAGAGATATTTTCATCCTGGGTACAACTGGGACCAGAGCGAAACGGAAGTCCCCGCATCCCCGCATCCGCTATTCTGGTGACAACTGGGTATTCATCATAGAGAAAAATGAGGTAGCTTTCATACGAACAAGACATACCACACAAGCTGTTTGTCTCGAGGGCGGAGGGGCTCGTCTGCTTTTTATGGAACAAATGAGGGAAAAGGTCAGAACAATTTAAGACATTAGTGGGGTGAATAACTCGGTAATACGAGTTAAGGTAAACCGAACCAGGGGCATTGGTGATCCATTTGGAGGCCGTTTAAGAAAACAACTCAATTACTTCATTTAGCTGTTCTAGAAAATGCAGCCAAAAATAGTACCTACAAGGAAAGAAATTCTCTCAACGATGTCACTTATACAAGATAAATCACTGAACAAGAACCGGCGCTCAATACACAATTACGAATATGACACCACTTTCTTTGATCTCTTGATGTAGATCTAGCCTGTCATTAAATCCAACAACTCGCAGACGTCCGGAGAAGAAGAGCGCATTAATTCCGTACCACGATAGTGCGGCGCTAACTCCGTTTTGAGCAAACACGGCACCGCTCTGACGGCACTTATTAAATTCCCGTTTTTTCCCGGCGTTTGTCGGACCTCCGACCGGCGTCCCGGGTCGCCTTTATGGCTGCTCAGCACCGCCGGCGGCGGCAGACGACAGAGGCGGCGCGCCGGCGGCGGTACCGGCGCGGCCAAACACACGACCGCTCTCCGAGATGTGAGCGATGTCAGAGCGCGACCCGACCGGGGACAGATGCAGCGGGTGAAATTGCAGTCAGCAGAAGCAACAGTACCAGACTGCGACACATTCCGATTGCTGTACGCTTATACCGTGCGAGCAACACGGTGCCCTGTCATTCTGACGCCTAACGCAACCAAGCACTCACATCCAAACACCCAATCACAAAGCCTGCCCAATGCCCATGCTTAGCATCCTATATCCAGGGCCTCACCCCAGTTCGGGACCACTCTACCCCCTGCTCCGCCCTGCCCCTCCCCTGCCTGCACAAGTTCCTCCGAGGCAGCCGCGGTCGAACCAGGCAGCCAGGATTGCGAAGCCTGGTGACCGCGCGCCGCAGATTGGCGTGGGGAGGGAGGGTCGGGGGTAGCGCGGCTGACCGGGGGGGGGGGGGTGCACGAGGGCCAGATCGGAGGGTTGGGGAGGGGTGGCTGGTGGGGTCAGGCCGCCGATTGTCGAGTCGGGTGCTGGTGACAGGCCGATAGGAGCTGATAGTGGAAGCCGCGGGCAGAGGCCGCACCGACCGCGCGTCACACTCGTCTACAGGCCAGCTACAGGCCAATGTTTCCGTCGGAGCTCTGTGGTCGGATTCACAGCTGCGAGTCGCAGCCGAGGTCGGGTCTTGGCTCTGCAACAGGTGGCACTGGGCGAGCAACAGGTCCCCCGACAGTCTGCAACAGGTCCCGACTGTCTGCAACAGGTCCCGACCGTCTGCAACAGGTCTGAAGCCATCGGACTGTGGCTCGGCGGAAAGACCCTGACTGCTGACCCTGACTGACCCTGACCGTATACCCTGACTGCTGGACCGTATACTGTCCGTATTAGCTCCGTATTAGCTCTACAGCAGGGCCCCAGACTGTTGGCGGCATTGTGTATCAGCGAGACGCTGTGACTGTTGGACTGCATACCGATAGCATCCCTCCATAAACGGTTACAGGTATCTCGGACTGTCGCACAGTGTCAGAAACTGATTTCGGTTATCGGCAACTGTTATCGGTGCTGGTTTAATTTTGTCATTTATGCCCATTCTCCCTGAGCTTTCTAGCTGTGGATCGCATAAACATTGCACCGCAAATCCCTATTATATATCGACACAAGCACCACCTGCGCTGGCGTCAGCCGGGTCACCACCTGTCACCATCAATGGCACCACCTGTCACCATCACCAGATGGAGAACAGACGGCCTCAGGCTGGTGTGGGCACAGTATGAGCGGAGCGGATACTGTATCGGCAGATTACGGAGCGCATGGCACGGTAGATCAGATCGTACCACGACCGGATACGTCGGCATACGGGGGCGCTCGGTACGAATTCATACCTCATGCATACCAGAAGCCGCGGCAGTGCACCTCCGA